TCCAACCCTAAAGAACTTCGAAATACCTCTTGGCCTCTTCTGAAATTTTTGAAAATCTTAAAAATATAAAAATTCAAATTCATATACTTGGGATATGCCCTTACATGCCATCTCTATATCATTCATGTCCTCATGGAGTCCTGGGGAGTGTTCTTTCTCTAGCCCTCCCCTTTAAAATGTGGCTCAGCTCCCCCTCCATGGAGTTCAAGAGCAGGCTGTCCCAGGGGTGTGGAATCTGGTTTCTTGTGGTTTTCTGTAGCAACCTGAGGGCTGGGGCCAGGTGACATGGGCAGGGTATAGTGGCTTCCACTGAGCAACCATCACTGCCAGCTTAGAACTCAACAGGTATGACCGTCACCCCCACCTCTGATGAGGGCACAGAGTTGTACTGTTCAGTGGCGTGGTCACTAGCTACATGAGGCTACTTAAATTAGAATTCATCAAAATGAAATTGTTTCTCAGTTGCACTAGCTCCATTTCCAGCACTCAGTAACTACCTTGTTGGACAACACAGATGTTGAACATGCTCATCATTGCAGAAGGCTCTATTAATACTGGAACAGGGCTTGTCTAAGACCTCACAACTAGTAAAGAGTAGGATCAAGGAGGGAAAAGTGAGGGCAAGGACTAACTTGTAAGGCAATTTCATTTCCATCTTTGCATTTGAGCAGATACCAGATTTTCTTTTTGTTCATTTGTTCAACAAATATAGAATATTTATGTGTGCTTGGCATGATTCTGTTGTTACGTGCCGTGGAAGTCGATTCTGATTCATAGCAACTCTGTATAGGGTTTTCAAGGAGTGGCTGGTGAGTTTGAACCACTGGCCTTGGGTTCAAACCAACCTTGAGGTCGAGTGCTTATCCTACACCAGGGCATTATTCTAGGAGTAGATATATCACTGAACAAAATAATCAACTCATGCTCTCATGGAATTTATAGTCCAGTGGGACAAGACCACAAATATGTACAGTTTAAAAATAAGGAATGATATTATGTGTCAGGGTAATGTTAAAGAAATTTTAAAATAATAAAACTGAATAATGGAAATTAGTACCAGAGCAAGCATTGGGTGGGTTGCAATTTTTAAAGGCATGATCTTGGTGGTCCTCATTAAAAAGGAGACGGTACATTCAGCAAAGACTTGAAGATGGTGAGGGAGTTTATTAGCTTTCTGGTCCAAGGGAAGAGTCGGTGCAAAGACTTTAAGGCAAAAAGTATCTGGTGTATTAGAGAGTGAAGAGGTCAGAGAGGCTTGGCTAGAGAGAGCAGAGTGAACTGAGGACACTAGCAGAAGACAAAGTCACAGTGTAGGGGAAGGGACAGAGCATGTAGGACCTTGTAAGGGCTTAGATTCAGTAAGATGGGAAGACATGGAGGGGGAAGGGAGTGTCTTGGCTTGTGTTTAGTCTCGATGCCTGTGGCTGCTGGATTGATAATAGAGGCTACTATGGTCTTCCAGGACAAATGATGGTCACTTGGACCGATGGATGTAGTAGTGGTAGGGGCTACAGTGGCTCTGTAGGATAAGTACTGGACTGCAAACCACAAGATCACTGGTTTGGGCCCACCAGCCACTTGGTGGGAGAAAGACGAGGTGTTGTGCTCCCACAAAGTCTTACAGCCTCAGAAACCCCATACAGGGTCACTATGAGGCAGAACCAACTTCATGGTATTTAACAAGCAGCAATAGAGGTGGTGAAAAATGTAAGATTCTCAATAAGTGTATTGAAAAAAGATTTGCTGATAGATTTTGACCTGAGTAACTTCAGAGGATGGAGATTCCTTTAAGATCTGAGAAGAATAAATTTGGTGTAATCCGCAGGGTTAGGGTTGTTGTTGTTGTTGTTGTTGTTGTTAAGGGCCGTTGAGTCGGTTCTGACCCATAGCAACCCTGTATAGGGTTTCCAAGGAGCAACTGGTGAGCTTGAACCACCAACCTTGTAGTTCAAACGGCTTTGCAGTCTGGTGCATTAACCCACAGCTCCACACCAGGACTCCAGGGTTAGGGTAGAAAAGCTCAAATTCTTTTATTTTCAATGGTCTGGCTAGTTCATTTTTATTTAGTAATGTTTTCATTAAGCTACATGGTAAGATGGATGGCTGCTCAAGGACATTAGGGTGCTAGGTGAGAAAACAGGTGGGTTCTATATGCTCTGTTGGATACCAGATCACTTGGATTAAAGCTCTCATCTCATTGATGGAGAAGATGAAGAAAGGCATATTTAAACAGTAAACGAACATGCTGTCTGTTCTGCAAATGCATTCTTGCCTTTGCTGGAATGCATTTCTCAGTTCTTTCAACCATAGCAGGTAAAATTGGAAAATAACATTAGTTTACATGACAATGAATCAGTCACTAATCATGATGAAACCAATTGCGTGATACTGTGGAATTGAACGTTGTTCTATGTTTCCCGTCTTACTGAGCTATTGGGAAGATAGATTAAATACCAGGTACTGATAATGTTGAATAATTTCATAGATTCCTGTGAGCATCTAAGACTTGTATGTGAGGGAAGGCTGTTTAAAGAGCTTCATCTAAGTGCATCATCTTTTCTGTTTTTATCATCTGATATGTCTGGTGTCATACTGTAAGATAAGCGCTGGACTGCCAACTATAGGGTCGCTATGAGTCGGAACTGTAGTGATGGCACCTGACAAGAACATACCTAATAAGCATCAAGGTGCAGCAATTGTATAGATGAATCAAGTTCAGGACTGGAGACATAAATCAGAGGTCACCACCTCTTAGATGGTAGTTCAAGCCATCATACAGATGAGATGACCATAATGAAAGCTAAAAAAAATACATAGCAATGTGCCTAGATTCCTCTCCCATTCCTGCAGTCTGAATAAAGGGGATCGAGGGAACCTCAGAAAAAGAGCTTAGTAGCTGGAGAGTCCCTAACAGGACTTTCTGTCCAGATACTTTACAGGGTGTGAAAGTAGAGAATGCTTGTACCTGTTTCCAGGTAAAGCACATTTAGGTGACATGTCCCCACTCCAGCAGGGGGCAGCAGTAGCCCAGGGGGGGGAGGGGGAGTGGCGGGTGTGTGTGTGTCTTGAGATAGGTCTAAAAAGAGAAGAGAACATCAGCAAGCTCCAAAAAAGTTCCCATGACCCTTAGGGGACACAAGACAGGCTAGAAAAAAACATCACAACTGATGTGTCTGATGATCAGTCTGGCGAATACCAGACTTGGTAGTGGATATGAAGACATGAATGTCAACAGAAAATGCTAGAATCTGCACCAATGACAAAAACCAGAGGTGACAAACATAAATACCACCTAGCACCATATATAATAGCCTCATATGCATGTGAAAGGAGCTCTGGTAGCGTAGTGGTTATGAATCAGACTGCGAACCTCAAGGTCAGCAGTTTGAAACTACCAGTTGTTCTGTGGTAGAAAGATGAGGCTTTCTGCTCCCATAAAGATTTACAGCCTCAGAAACCCTGTACAGGGTCACTGTGAGTCAGAACCGACTCCACAGCACATAACAACAACAACATATGCATGTGAAAGTTGAACAATGACTCAAGAAGACCATAGAATAATTGATGCATTTAAGTTACGGTGTTGGAGAAGAATATTAAAGTACCATGGACTGTCAAAAGAACAAACAGATCTGTGTTAGAAGAAGTACAGCCAGAATGCTTCTTAGAAGCCAGGATGGCCAGTAGTCATCTCTCATACTTGGGACATGTTATCAGGAGGAGAACCAGTCCCTCGAGAAAGACATCATGCTTGGTAAAGTAGAGGGTCAGAGAAAAAAAGGAAGACTCCCAATAAGATAGATTGCACAGTTGCAGCAGCAATTGGCAAGTGTAACAGCAATTGTGAGATTGGTGCAGGACTGGGCAGTGTTTCATTCTGTTGGAACCATCTTGATGGCACCTAACAACACCAACAAGCAGAGTAGATGGACTCTGACTGGAGATCTCACCCTCTACTCCAGAATGTCACCCTCACTCTTCCCAGGCACAGATGCCACCTCAAAGAGAATCACCTGACAACATTGAAGTGGCAAGATGAAAGGCAGCTCATGATAGAAATTTACTTCAGTGTTACAAAAATACTATAATATGGGTTTGATCACCTGCAGTTGTGGAATTTATACCAGTGCCAGCAGATGAGAACCAAAGTGGAGCTACGGTGAAGAGGGTGACTTGGGGGAAAGTGGAGATTATTCGGTAATGCCTGGGGTGCCAGGAATTGGGGTGAGAAATTGTGGGTTCTACTGTTTTGCCTGGTATTATCCCAGGTAGTATGTCAAAACTAGGCACAATTCTCTCCATTATACACACTTATATGCACACACACGCAAAGACAAACACACTCCTTGAGCATCTACAGTTACATCTTCGTAACCAAGGGAATTATCTGATAGTTGAAATTAATTATCTCTTATGTAGCTACCAAGTTCAAGGGGAAGAATGCTTTGTAAGATCATTTTATTTCACAACATAGTGTTACATAATACACAACTGGGCTCTACCATTAGAAGCATTAGAAGCTAAATATAATAAACTCATCTTAAGTATGTTCAGTGATGTCCACAAGAGTTGTTTCTCTTCCTAAGGAAATACTACTTATGCTAACCATACAACAAGCAAGAAAAACAAGAGATGGCCCTGGTTTCCACACAGAACAACTCTTTTTCCCAAACTCTTCTCCAAACATACCTTCTTCAGCCAGTAAAACCATTTAGAAAAAACTCTGTGGTTTTCTTTAGAAAAAACTAACATTGCCCCAAATCACCAGGAGACCTAAGAGGCTATTTGAGTTAAACATTCCCTTAACTGCTGGTGAAAGAAAAGATTATTACACTATGAAACTAAGTCCCCAGATTGCTATTCTTGCAAATCAGACCTGGTGACAATGCACTCTGTGGATTAATGATTGGAAAGCCGAAAAATGCAGAGCGGGCATTAGATAATTGGTTCTCCCTTCAGTCTGCTTCCCCAACTCTGAGCATCATCTCTTTCTGCCTTTCCTAGTACATGTTGGAGAGCCTGATGTCATAGGTGACCATGTTGAAGTTGTCCCAGGCAAATAGTTTCTTCTCCAAGGGGTTGTAATCAATCATGCTGCTGTACTTGTAGTGGTTCTTGAACGGGATGGTCAGGGCCTTGCTGTTGCCTGTGCCTGTATTGTAGGCAAAGTTGACGGTAGCATTAGCTGATGAATAGCTGCTGATGGTGTACAAGGTGCCACAGATGATGAAGGCGTTGGCCACTGACTGCTTCCGAATGTTAGTCTCCCAGCTTTGCTCAAGTTCCAGATTCTCTGGGTTCAGTTTGGAAAGGACAATGGCCCCTTTGGCAGCCTCAGTGCTGTAGATGACCCAGAGTCCTGTCTCATCCACAGCTAAGTCAATGTCTGTGTAGCCGCCCCAAGAATATGGGAACTGTCCATGGTAGCCAGCACCAGGAATGTCCTTCGTGGCCTTCACCGTCTCAGTGTTCAGCTCATACCTGATCACAGTCCTGGATCCAGACCCCTGAAAATAGAGGCTACCCCCATACACCACAGCGCCTGTGCTTTCCAGAGAAGTGGGCAGCACATGCACCTTGGAAGGGTAGCCCTGAGTGAATTGACTGATGCGGTCATATTCAAACACTTGGCGGATATCTGTGCCGACTGTGTCGACTCTCCATGTTGTCTCCTGGGTATAAGGGTAGATGGGCTTTGGGTCTCTCATCCACACACCATACTTGCCAATGATTGTTTCTGCTGTTCTCAGAGTGACAGGTTCTCCTACCCAAATCAACTCGCCACATCCTAGTGAAATGAAAAAACATGAAGAAAAATTATCCATAATCTTTCCAAATACACAGAGTGACAATGTGGGTGCATGACAGATCAAGAAATGAAGACCTCAGAGACAGACCCTCTGGATTTAAATACAGTCTTTATTTGTGTGACTTTCAAATGGTTATGTAACTTTCAAAAGCTATTTCACTTTATAAGCCTCAATTTTCTCACTTGTGAAAGGGAGCTAATAATAACATTTCAGGTAATGGGGCTGTTATAAGTGTTAATTGCGATTATAGATCATATATGAGTTGCTGTTGTTAGGTGCCATTGAGTCATTTACAACTCACAGAGACCCTACATACAACAGAATGCAGTACTACTGCCTGGTCCCGAGCCATTCTCAAAATCATTCCTACATTTCAGCCCATTGTTCTAGCCATTGTGTCCAATCCATTTTGTTGAGGATCTTCCTCTTTTTCAATGACTCTGTATATCTGAGGGGGCTTCAGAAATTCATGGGGAAAAATCCATGATCTTTTCATTCCATTTTCCTATGACGTTTTGAAGCCCTCTCATATATATGATCCTCATTAGGCTAATAACTGCAAGGTCAGTGGTTCAAACCCACCAGCTGTTCAACAGGAGACAGATGAAGCTGTCTAATCCTATAAGGATTATAGATCTGGGAAATCCTGTGGAGTAGTTCTACTCTATCCAATTCATAGAACCCTATAGGACAGTATATCTATCTATCTATCTATATATAGAAAGGAATCCTGGTATGGCACTGTAGGATAAGTACTGGACTGCAAGGTTGCTTTGAACTGCAAGATTGGCAGTTAAAACTCACCAGCTGCTCCTCAGATACCCTATATAGGGTTGCTGCTATGGGTTGGAACCAACAGGCATTAGTGGTTCCATGGTAGAAGTCTCACTATCCACATGGGAGAGCCGGATTCATTATCTAACCAATACATCTCAAGTGCAGTCACCACCCATCTGCCAATGGAGACTTGCATGTTGCCATGATGCTGAATAAGTTACAGTGGAGTTTCCACACCAAGGAGACAAAGAAGAAAAGTTTGGTGAGCTACCACTGAAAATCAATCAGTGAACCCCCTATTAATCACAATGATCTGATCCACTACCAATCCTGGGGATGGTTTAGGACTGGGTAGAATTTCTTTCAGCTGTGAATGGGATCACCATGAATTGGGAACTGATTCCATGACAGCTAACAACAAGTGCTTGGTACAGAGTAAATGCTTAGTAAGTGTTCATTCAATATGTAATATGAATTGAACTTCATCTACACTGTATCAGTTATAAACATGAAGACAATATGTGGGGCTTCAACAATATTTATAACATGCTACTTCAGCTGGACTCTGGTAGCGTAGTGGTTACAAATCAGGCTGCGAACCGCAAGATCAGCAGTTCGAAAACTACCAGCTGCTCCGCGGGAGAAAGATGAGGCTTTCTGCTCCCATAAAGATTTACAGGCTTGGAAACCCTACCCTGTTCAGGGTCGCTGTGGGTCAGAACCGACTCGACGACACTTAACAACAACAACAACTTCAGCTGGACAGTGGACTCCTTGGTGCTCACTGCATTATCCTTTCTATGACTTCTAGGCCTGATTGTCACCACTCATCAATCATCTTGTCATGTGTTGGCCTGTGTGTTGCTGTGATTCTAGGAACTATGACACTAGTACTTCCGATGCTAGCAGAGTCACTGTAGTGCATGGACAGATTTCAGTGATGCTTCCAGACTAAGACAGATTAAGAAGGACCTGGCTACCTACTTCTAAAAACACTGGTCTGTGAAAACCTTATGGATATCAATGGAACATCATCTGATGTAGTGCTAGAAGAGGAGCCCCTCAAGTTGGAAGGCACTCAAAATATGACTGAGGAAAAGCTACCTCCTCAAAGTAGAGTCAACCTTAATGATGTAGATGGTACAAAGCTTTCAGGACCTTCATTTGCTGACATGGCATGACTGAACATGAAAAGGAACAGCTGCAAACATCCACTGACAATCAGAATGTGGGATATATGACGTATGAATCTACGAAGATTGGAAGTTGTCAACAGTAAAAAAGAATGGAAATCATAAAGATTGATATACTAGGCATCAGTGAGCTGATGTGCATGGGTATCGGCCTTTATGAGTCAGAAATCATATGGTTTACTATGCTGGGAATGATAAAGAGGAAGGGCATTGCATTTACTGGCAAAAGAACATTTCAAGATCTAGAAATACAATGCTGTCTGTGATAAATAATATCCATATGCCCACAAAAAAGACCAATTAATACAATTATTATTTTAATTTACATACCAACCACAAAAGCCAGTGATGATAAAATTGAAGAATTATAATAACTACTTTAATCAGAAATTGATCAAACATGAAATCAAGATAATTACTGGTGATTGGACTGTGAAAATTGGAAACAAAGAGGAACGACCAGTAATTGGAAAATATGCCAAAGCATGACCTTGAGTATATCCTACATGAATTAAAGACCATCTTAAGAATAGATTTGCTGCATTAAACACTGATAACCCAAGACCAACGAAGTTGTGGGATGACACTGAGAATATCATCCCTGAAAACAAAAGGTCATTAAAAAGAAAGAAAAGACCAAACTGGATGTCAGAAGACACTCTGAAATTTGCTCTTGAAAGTAGAGAAGTTAAAGTGACTGGAAGAAACAATGAAATGAAAGAACTTAACAGAAAATTTCAAAGAGCACCTTGAGAAAACAAAATACAGCATTATAAAACCAAAAGCAAAGAACAAACTCAGCATTTCTCAAGCTGAAAGATCTGAAAAATAATGAAATATTGCTCCTGTAAAGATTTACAGCCTTGGAAATCCTGCACAGGGTCGCTATGAGTCGGAACTGACTTCCACAGCACACAACAACAACAACAACAATGGACAAAATACTGAATGATGCAGAAAACACCAAAAGATAGAAGGAATGAAAACAGACTGTACTAAAAAGAATTGATCGTTAGTCAACCATTTCAAGAACCAGTGATACTGAAGTAAGAAGTACAAGCTGCACTGAAGGCATTGGCCAAGAACAAAGCTCCAAGAATGAATGAGTTACATTTTTAAATGTCAACAAACTGATGTAGCATTGGAGGCACTCACTCATCTATGCCCCAAAATTTGGAAGACAACTACCTAGCTAGCCAGTTGAAAGAGATCCATATTTGTGCACATTCCAAAGTGACCCAACAGAATGTGGAAATCATCTAATAATCATTAAAATCACATTTAAGTAAAATTTTGCTGAAGATAATTTTAAAATGTTTGCAGTGGTACATTGACAGGGAGTCATCAGAATTCAAGACAGATTCAGAAAAGGACATGGAACGAGGGAAATCATTGCTGACGTCAGATGGATCTTATCTGAAAGCGGAGAATACCAGAAAGATGTTTACTTGTGCTTTATTGACTATGCAAAGGCTTTCAGCTGTGTGGATTATGACACGCTTTGGATAACACGGTGAAGAATTGATTTTCCCAAACACTTGATTGTGCTCATGAGGAACCTACACACAGACCAAGAGGGCAGTCATTAGAACAGCAAGGGGATACAGATGATTAAAAATCAGCAAAGTAATTCACTGGTTAAAGGGTAGACACACATCAGCTGGGCTAATGAGGAAGGTACTATGTAACAAACAACCTTAGTAACATATGCTCAGTTGGAATAAAAAATTAATAATAATAATAAAATAGTGATTGCCTGAGTCACCCCTGGCCACTAGCCTCCTGACTGCAGCCCTAGTTCAGGGAGAAAGTTAGGAGAATGAGATTTCGTGTCTTGTACTTTGGGCATATTTTCAAGAGGGACCAGTCCCTGCATGCAGGAGGACATCGTGCTCGGTAAAGTGGATGGTCAATGAAAAGAGGAAGACCCCCAACAAGCTGGATTTACACAGCGTCAACAACAATAAACTCAAACATAGCAGCAATTTAAGGGTAACACAGGACAAGGAAGAGTTTCGTTCTATTGTGCATAGTGTCACTGTGGGTCTAACAACAACAACATACATATGGACCTTGTTGGGTGGAATGCTCAGAAATCAAATTGACTCCATCTGTGGAAAGAGACAATGGAGACGCTCAATATCATCAGCCAGAACAAGGCCAAGAGTTGATTGTGGGACATACCACTGTTGCTCATATGCAAGTTTGAATTGAAACTTAAGAAAATTAAAGCAAGTTCAAAAAAGCCAAAGTTGGATCTTAAGCATATAGAACCCACCTGAATTTAGAGACGATGTCAAGAATAGATTTGATGCATTGATCACTAATGACAAAAGACTAGATTTGTTGTGAATTAACATCAAGAACATTATACATGAAGAAAGTGAAAGGTCATTAAAAAGACATGCAAGAAAGACCAAAACGGATGTCAGAAGAGACCCTGAAACTTGCTCATGAACTCAGAGTGAAATGAAGAAATAAGATGAACAGAAGATTTCAAAGGGCTGCTTGAGAAGATGAAGTGAAGTATTATAATGAAATCAGCAAAGACCTGGAATTATAAATCCAGAAAAGAACATGCTAGTCATTACTGAAGGATTCTATGGACAAAATATTGAATAATACAGGAAGCATCAAAAGAAGAAAGAAGAAACACACAGAATCATTGTACCAAAAAAGAATTGTACAATCACTGTGCCAAAGAGACACTCAGTTATTGTAGGAGGTAGCATATAATTGAGAATCACAGTACTGAAGGAACAAGTCCAAGCTGCACTGAAGGCATTGGTGAAAATTAAGGAGACATGAACTGATGGACTACCAATTGAGATGTTTCAAGGAATGGATGTAATGCTGGAAGCTTTCACTCATCTATGTCAAGAAATTTGGATGACAGTTGCCTGGCCAGCCAACTGGAAGAGATCCATCTTCATGCCCATAGAGAAGAAAGCTGATCTAGCAGAAAGAGCAAATTATTGAATTTATCATTTATATCACATGCAAGTAAAATTTTGTGGAAGATAATTAAAAAATAGTTTCAGCATAACATCAACAGGGAACAATCAGAAATTCAACCCAGATTCAAAAGAGGATGTGGAATGAGGGATATCATTGCTGATGACAGATGGATCTTGGTCAAAAGCAGAGAATACCAGAAAGACGTTTATTTGTGCTTTATTGACTATGAAAAGATGTTTAGGTATGTGGATCGTGACAAATTATGAATAACATTGCAAAGAATGGGAATTCCAGAACACCTAATTGTGCTCAGGCAGAACCTGTACACACATTTAGAGGCAGCCATTTGAACAGAACAAGGGGATACTGCATGGTTTAAAATCAGGAAAGATGTGTGTCAGGGTTATATACTTTCATCATACTTATTCAGTCTATATGTTGAGCAAATAATCCAAGAAACAACTATATGAAGAAGAACCAAGCATTAAGCCTGAAGGAAGACTCATTAACAACCTATGATATGCAGATTACACACCTTGCTTTCTGAAAGGTGTGTAATCTTTGAAGCTCTTACTGATGAAGATAAAAGACTACAACATTTGGTATGGACTACATGTCAACATAAAGAAAAATCCTCACAACTAGACCAATAAGTAGCATCATGAAAAACAGAAAATACTGACATTGTCAAGGATTTCATTTTATTTGGATTCATAATCAATGCCCATGGAAACAGTAGTCAAGAAATTAAACAGTGTATTAAATTGGGCAGAAGACTGCTTTAAAATGTTAAAAGCAAAGATCACTTTGAGGGCCTAGATACACCTGGCACAATCCATGCTGTAGTCAGTCAACTCATATGCAGTCCAAAGCTGGACAATGAATGTTGTTGTTGTTAAGTGCCATGGAATCAGTTCAGACTCACAGTGACCCTAGATAGGGCTTCCATGGAGTAGCTAGTGGGTTTGAACCACTCACCTTGTGATTAGCAAGCAACTCATTGCTTATCTCAGTGTCACACCAGGACAATGAATAAGACTGAAGAATCAATGGATTTGAATTTGAGTTTTGAGAAAAATATTTAATATATTATGGACTGTCAGAAGAATAAACAAATCTGTTTTGGTAAAACTACAGCCAGAATACTTCTTAGACGGGAGAATGGCAAGATTTCATTTTACATACTTTGGACACGTGATCATGGCTGGAGAAGGGCATGATGCTTGGTAAAGTAGAGGGTCAGCAAAAAAGAGGAAGCTCCTCAGTGAGACAGACTGACAGTGGCTAAAAGGATGGGCTTAAATAGAGCAACAATTGTGACCATGGTACAGGACTGGGCAGTGTTTTGTTCTGCATGGGGACACTATGAGTTGTAGTCAAGTGACAGCAGCTAACAACAACAATGACTAGTTTATTTCATCATTTAAAAGTAAGCTTATTACAAACATTATTTTTATAAATCAGTTTTTCAAACCCCAATTGGCCATATATTTCACAAATCACTTAACTAAAATAAAATCTGAATATAATTTTTAAAATTCTTCAATGAAGAGAGCTGGATTTTAGATTTTGCTGAATCACTACAAATGTGTGCTTTCATAACTGCCTTCGATTTCCTCACAGAAGATAAGAGACTTGCTGTTGACAACTCAGAATCATATTGTGAAGATTTTATAACCCCCTGTCCTTTTGTGAAGGAGCCCTTGTGGTGTAGTGGTTTATGGGTTGGGCTGCTAACCTCAAGGTCAGCAGTTCACATCCACCAGCCACTCCATGGGAGAAAGAGGACATTTTCTGCTCCCATAAAGATTTACAGCCTTGGAAACCCTGTCCTGGGTTCTCTGTGAGTCAGAACCAACTTGACAGCACACAGCAGCAGCACTCCCTATGTAAAGAGGTCCTGACTTGTGATGCAGTGGTTTAAATGCTGGGCGGCTAAATACATCAGCGGTTCAAATCCATTAGCCACTCCAAGGAAGAAAGATGAGGCTTTCAGCTCCTGTAAAGATTTATAGCCTCGAAAGCCCTGTGGAGCAGTTCTACTGTCTCCTGTAGGGGACGCTGTGAATCATAACTGACTTGATGGCAGTGTGCTTGATCTGGTCCTTATTCATGTCCATGAGTACTAGCAACAACTATCAATAATACATTATTTAGAAACAGTCATAGTTTCTAAAAACCACAGTCTTAATCTGGAGATCAGGTCCTCATGGAATATATTGCAGAAGGACTAATTGACTTTTTGTAAGTGCCCAAAGTTCAGAAAAGATGCCCTTTGGGCAGAGATATGTACATGGACCTCAGAGAAAGAGAGAGATGAAAGATCTATTTAAAATGGAATTCTTCAGATGCAATTAATTCTATATGACAATTGTTACATGCCAAGGAGCTCTGGTAGCATAGTGGTTACGAATCAGGCTGTGAACCATAAGGTCACCAGTTCGAAACTACCAGCTGCTCCGGAGGAGAAAGATAAGGCGTTCTGCTCCTGTAAAGATTTACA